GGGGGGGGGGGGGGGGGGGGGGGGGGGGAGTGATGAACCTGGAAGCGCAGGTGCTCACCCTGGGCTGGCCCTTAGTTGTAGTCTTGTGGTGACGGAGCTACAGTTCAGGAAACCTTTCTCCCAGAAACTAACAAAGCAAGTGTAGTCTGAGTGTTGGTGGTTGCTGGCTGTTCTTTGTCAGGTCTCATCAGTCGGGTCTGTTGAGAGCAGTCCTCACTCTTGGGGACTGCAGGGATGGGCCTACCTCTTGTTCCCTATCAGTACTCAGCTCTGTGATCAGAACAGCACTCGCAGATGCTGAGTAAGCACCTTGCCAAGTACTTTCCTCCATTACGTCATTGAATTCTTAATCCTGTGAGGAAGGCGAGGCTTTCCTGTGTTGTGCAGGTGTGGGGAGGGGATGTTGAGTATGTTGTCCAGGATCACAGAGGCTGTCAGGACTCAGACCCTCAATGCTGCTGTGTCAAAGCCTCAAAGTTACATTACTGCAGTGGGATGATCGGAATACTCTATAGCAGCTGTGGGCAAACGACGGCCCGCGGGCCGGATCCGGCCTGTTTGAAATGAATGAAACTAAAAAAAAAAAAAAAGACCGTACCCTTTTATGTAATGATGTTTACTTTGAATTTATATTAGTTCACACAAACACTCCATCCATGCGTTTGTTCCGGCCCTCCGGTCCAGTTTAAGAACCCATTGTGGCCCTCGAGTCAAAAAGTTTGCCCACCCCTGCTCTATAGTCTAATTTCTGTGGATAGTTTTTGTAACCTTAATTATAAGTTAATAGCAAAAACTTCTTTATTTCCAAATTGCCTAATAAAAAGTCATACTGGTATTAGTCACTAGAATGTAGGAATCTACATCTCTGTATAGTAAGAATTAGAATCCAAAGTTATTTTTTTCCAGCAAAAATAAATATTTTATTTTGGAGAGAAGTCTGCTCAAGAAATTTAAATAATTTCCATTACAAGAATGTAGATAGCCCTAGCCAGTTTGGCTTAGTGATTAGAGCATCAGTCTGCGGACTGAAGTTGTCCTGGGTTTGATTCTGGTTAAGGGCACATGTCCAGGTTGTGGGCTCCATCCCCAGTGGGGGGTGTGCAGGAGGCAGCCAATTGATGATTCTCTCCCATCATTGATGTTTCTATCTCTCTCCCTTTCCCTTTCCCTTCCTCTCTGAAATGTAGATAATATTTTCTATTTCAAAGGCACTTTCCATTGTCATTAAATTAATCATATAATAAAGAGCTAATATGCTAATTAGGCCAAACAGCAGAACAACCATCCAACAACCTTCTGGATGAAGCCGGGGCTGCGAGGACCGAGCCCCTTGCGTGAATTTTGTGCATTGAGCATCTAGTATTCTTATAAAATGTGGATTTGTTTATGTCTGTAGCACATATTTTCTTTTTTAAAAAAATGTTTTGTTGATTTTTAGAGAGAGAGGAAGGGAGAGGGATAGAGAAATAGAAACAACGATGTGAGAGAATCATCAATCAGCTGCCTCCTGCAACCCAGACATGTGCCCTGACCAGGAATCGAACCGGTGACCTCCTGGTGCACAGGCCAACACTCAATCACCAAGCCACACCAGCCAGACCATAGCACAAAATCTTATACATAATTTTTATAGTGATTCGTTTGTTTTATGTCATGTATTTGTAAGTTTGATTTTAGTCTTCTGTGTTTCAGAGAACTCAGTCTTAAAATTGTTTTGCCAGGCATTCTTAGATAGTCTCTGCCCTTATCCTGGCCTTAAAACTCAAATTTTAAGTTTTTGGTAACCAGTGGCAGATGGCCTTCGGGTATTGCCTTGGCACATCATTTTGCATAAATATGACATTGAATTCTTTCTGCTTCACTTTTACGTGAGGGCACTGGACCAAGTGGCGATGGTAACACTGAAGTATGGGTAGGCCCTTTCCAGGCATTTATTTTTTACGTTGGTCGTTAATAGGTGAGCAAGCTGCCAGCTACATTGTAGGCACATTTCTGCCTCCACTTTCATCTTCCTCCACTGCTTTCATTTACGCTTGAAAATTCATGCTCTGCGGGAATGTAAGAGCTGGAAGTAACATGTGAACTACCTCAAGTCCTTCATAGGATGGACACATTCCTATAACTTTAAAATCCCGTGTCTTCATGTTGAATCCCCTGAAGCAGATTATGATGTGAAAAGGACAGAAGGGAGATCTTTAAAAACCTTGATGGGAACATGAGTTAACAAATTGAGTTGAATTCAGCATTCTGAATTGTCTTCAAATGTAGATTGCAAAATAGCTTTAAAGCTTTTGCCTTGAATTTGTCTCCTAATGAACGGATTTGCAAGAAATCTGGTAGTTACTACCCATGCTCTGTATACACACACCTGTGATAAGCTGTGGGCATTCCCACTAGAAAACCAAGAGAGGCCCCTGGTGACATGCTCTTTTCCTGAAAGTTGTTCCAGATTGTGGACTTGTGTTCACTGTGTCTGTTATTTACTAGGGACATCATTTTTACCATAGTGTTGCATTGAGTTGTCCTGTAATACTATGGTAAGTAGTTCTAACCACTGGGTGTGTGTCTTAATTTCCCCGAAATCTGATGTGCCACACGTGGAGAGGCAAGATTGTGCTCTTTTTAGAACAGCCCTGCAGGGGAAATAGAAAGTTAAAGACTCAAAAATGTGTCTGATCGGCAGAATTCATAGTCTCATCACCCCACAACTGCAAGGACTGCCTCTGAGCAGTCCATGGGGGAGATAACACACCAGAGCCCAGGGAACGATGATGTCCATTTGTTTAATTCACACATTCATAAAAAATTACAGAAATGGCTCAGCCATCGTCATTGGCCCTATTTTTTGTTTGGTAATTGTATTTTTTAAAGGGTCATGCTCTGAGTAAGTGCTTGTGGTAGACCACCGAAGAAGTACTTTGTGATAAAATTCTACACGTGTGTAACAGCTTGGGCTGCTGTAACAGCACACGCTTCAACAGCAGGCATTGACTCTCTGTTCTGGAGGCTGGAAATCCAAGGTCACAGTGTCAGCAGGGTTGGTTTCTCATTAGGCCTCTCTCCTGGGCTTGTAGATCACTGTCTCCCTCCTGTGCCCTGACATGTCCTTCCCTCTGTGTGTGTCTGTCCTGGTCTCTCCTTTTTATAAGGATATAGTCTCTATTAAGGCCCACACTTATGACCTCATTTTAGCTTAGTCACCTTTTTAAACACCCAGTCTCCAAATACAGGCACATCTGTCTATATATATAAAGCGTAAGTGACCGGGTGGTAGCTATGATGTGCACTGAAGGGGACAGACACTCAACACAGGAGCTGCCAAGTGACAGAGTAAGTGCTTGTGGTAGACCACCGAAGAAGTACTTTGTGATAAAATTCTACACGTGTGTAACAGCTTGGGCTGCTGTAACAGCACACGCTTCAACAGCAGGCATTGACTCTCTGTTCTGGAGGCTGGAAATCCAAGGTCACAGTGTCAGCAGGGTTGGTTTCTCATTAGGCCTCTCTCCTGGGCTTGTAGATCACTGTCTCCCTCCTGTGCCCTGACATGTCCTTCCCTCTGTGTGTGTCTGTCCTGGTCTCTCCTTTTTATAAGGATATAGTCTCTATTAAGGCCCACACTTATGACCTCATTTTAGCTTAGTCACCTTTTTAAACACCCAGTCTCCAAATACAGGCACATCTGTCTATATATATAAAGCGTAAGTGACCGGGTGGTAGCTATGATGTGCACTGAAGGGGACAGACACTCAACACAGGAGCTGCCAAGTGACAGCAACTTTGCAGAGTGCCCTCTCGCACTTTGGGGCCCTTTGGGGAATGTTGGACTGCTGGTTTTGGCCGATCCCCGCAGGCCAGGCCGAGAGACTCTGCCATTGCACAAATCCGTACACCAGGCCTCTAGTTTTGATACAAAAGGAATAGCTATACATAGTATACTAAAAAGAATATTGAAAGGAGCCAGCTCCCTGAGTTCTAGATCTGTTTGCCCACTTCCTGCTGGTGTGATCCAGGCAAATGATTTAGCCCTTCTTACTTATTTTCCTTGTCTGTATATGGGGAGCGTCTGCCCTGTGACTCTCCAGTGCGATGCTGACATGCGTGGTGCAGGCCTGAGCCTCCAGGCTGGCATCAAACCAAGACGCAGTGCCTTGTACAGATAGCAGCTTTGTTATTTAAGACCTTGCCATGTGTGCTTTGATTTTTTTTTTAATCTTTGAGATCACACTTTAGTTCCACATAGTTTCATTTATTATATAATGCCTAGAAGATTCCCGTTTTTATGTTTTTTCAGAAAACTAGCATCTGCATATATAACAATTGTAATAATAAGCACCCTTGAGATAGTAGTGGGATGGTCCATCCACATTTTTGATTTTAGTGTAACTGAGAGCTAGACTATAAGTCTAAGCTTTTTGAATAAAGATACGTGTCTTGACATTTTCACGTCACAGTGGTCACAAGCACTAACCTGCTTTTGTTTAGTGTTGCTGGACTTTGCAATGTCAGGCAATGGTCCGATTGGTAGTAATGTAAATAGCAGGTCTACTTTCAGAAAGAATTACTATCAAAGAGGGAAACTGCCTTTATTATTAGGTATATTTTTATTGGTTTCAGAGAGAGAGAGAGAGACATCAATGATGAGAGAGAATCATTGATTGGTTGCCTCCTGCACAACCCCTACTGGGGATCAAGTCTATAATCCAGGCATGTGATTAAATCAATGCTCAACCACTCAGCCACACCAGCCAGGCAGAAGCTGTATTTTAAAAAGGACAGTTATGCCCAATGAATTGTAGCTGTGTGTGCAGTGGGGGTAGTGACCACTGCTTTCCATCCCTGGTAGGCCTTGGTGCACTGTGTTGAATCACTTCTTTGCCCTCTCCCATGATAATTTGAAATCGGTCCCTCTGTGGAGAAGTTTTAAAAGTAGATTATTATGGCTTTTTCGCAACGGGTTTGATGCCAGAACACAGGTGTCGTGAAAACCACCAGTAACTCAAACCCAAGATGGGAAACGAAAAGACTCACATCAACATCGTCGTCATCGGACACGTAGACTCCGGCAAGTCCACCACTGCCGGCCACCTGATCTACAAACGTGGGGGCGTCGACAAGAGAACCATCGAGAAATGTGAGAAGGAGGCGGCTGAGATGGGGAAGGGCCCCTTCAAGTAGGCCTGGGTCTTGGATAAACTGAAAGCTGAACAGAAGCGAGGTGGAAATTCGAGACCGGCAAGTATGTGACCATCACTGATGCCCCAGGGCACAGAGACTTCATCAAAAACATCATCACAGGCACAGCTCAGGCTGCCTGTGCTGTCCTGATGGCTGCTGCTGGTGGTGGTGGATTTGAAGCAGGCATCTCCAAGAACGGGCAGACCCGTGAAAATGACCTTCTGCCTACACACTGGGTGTGAAACAGCTGGTTGTTGGTGGTAACCAAATGGATTCCACTGAGCACCCTTCAGCCAGAAAAGATATGAGGAAATTGTTAAAGAAGTCAGCACCTGCATTAAGAAAATTGGCTACAACCCTGACACAGTAGCATCTGTGCCAATTTCTGGTTGGAATGGTGACAACATGCTGGAGCCAAGTGCTAACATGCCTTGGTTCAAGGGATGGAAGGTCACCCGTGGAACCACGCTGCTTGAAGCTCTGGATGGCATCCTGCCACCAACTCGACCAACTGACAAGCCCCTGCGTCTGCCCCTCCAGGATGTCTACAAAATCGGTGGTATTGGTCCTGTCCCTGTGGGTCGAATGGAGACTGGTCTTTTCGAACCCGGCAGGTGGTTGGTCACCTTTGCTCCAGTCAACATTACAACGGAAGGGAAGCCTGTGGAAATGCACCATGAAGCTTTGAGAGAAGCTCTTCCTGGGGACAATGTGGGCTTCAGCGTCAAGAACGTGTCTGTCAAAGATGTTCGCCGAGGCCATGTGGCTGGTGACAGCAAAAAGGACCCACCAGGGGAAGGAGCTGGCTTCACAGCTCAGGTGATTATCCTGAGCCACCCAGGCCAGATCAGTGCTGGCTACGCACCTGTGCTGGATGGTCACACAGCTCACTGCTAGCAAATTTGCTGAGCTGAAGGAGAAGATTGATCGTCGTTCTGGGAAAAAGCTGGAAGACAGCCCCAAGTTTTTGGGATCTGGTGATGCTGCCATCGTTGATGTGATTCCTGGCAAGCCCATGTGTGTTGAGAGCTTCTCTGACTACCTTCCTCTGGGCCGTTTTTGCTGTTTGTGACACAAAACAGACAGATGCTGTGGGTGTTAACAAAGCAGTGGACAAGAAGGCAGCTGGAGCTGGCAAAGTCGCCAAGCCTGCCCAGAAAGCTCAGAAGCTAAATGAGTATTATCCCCAATACCTGCCACCACCCCGCCTTAATCAGTGGTGGAAGAACCGTCTCAGGACTGTTTGTCTCAATTGGCCATTTTAGTTTAATAGAAAAGGCTGCTAATGATTGCAGTGCATCATCCTAAAACATTCAGAAGAGGAGAATGTTTTGTGGACCATTTGGTTCTTTTGTGTGTGTGGCAGTTTTTAAGTTATTAGTTTTTAAAATCAGTATTTTTTAATGGAAACAACATGACCAAAAATCTGTCACAGAATTTTGAGACCCATTAAGATAAAGTTTAATGAGAAAAAAATAAAAGATTATGTTTCTAGGAGGGTACAGCTTACAGGTGGTAAAATTTGCTGTAGTTTTTGGACATCCCACCTTAAATTCCTGGTATGGATAGTAGCCTTGGTCCCACACTCAAGGCAGAGCCAGCTGCTTCATTTAAAGCCACAGAATCTCATTCAGGTTAACGTGAGCTCGAGAGACATAACCAGCATGATTGCCAGGGGTGTGATGAAGGCCAGGGCAGCTGGGCCGCTGCGTTTCTCCACGCGCCCGGGGAATGGAGGCTGCGGGTACCGAGAGCGCGTTTGTGTCCTGAGAAAGCGAAGCTATGGAGCTGCTGACAGCATTGATGACTCATCAGGTTCTGCTCACTGCCTGCTCCACAGAGGGCTCTGTTCCACCGCTGCCGCTTAGGCATCATAATTCTCAGTGAAGCCAGAGTGGTGTTTGGCTTCTCGAGAACACAAAAAGTTGCATTGCATTTTTTGTTTAGTCCTAATTCTCCCAGCTGACTAGCCAACAGCATGTTGGTCCTTTGGCGTCCACAGGGCTGCTGCTGCCCGCCTCCCCCAGAAGAGGTCAGGTCCTGGCCGGTCACGCTGCATCTTCCATCCGCTGTCTCGGGTTTATGCGCACACTGCCCTAGTTGATCATGAATTGCAAGGTGAAGTTTCAAGTTGCTTCCCATTGCTACCCAAACCTTGTTCCTAGTTTCTGTGCCTTCATAATCTAAAATATCCTAAAACTGTTTGTTTCATTTTCCTGTTTAAAAACAATTCTAGTTACAGCGTCAGGCTGGAGCAGGGTGGAGTGCTGGGTGTGGTTTTCGGTAGACAGCCATCGTAACTTTAATTGGGTGAATTACCCAATTCAGTAAGGCTCTATGTTCCCATCTCTGTCATCAGTGGGCAAAGACCAGCTGCGCATCTCATAAACCTAGGTGGGGCTTTTGTTTCTTTTGTTAATCCTCACCTGAAGATATTTTTTCCATTGTTTTTCAGAGATGGAGGGAGCGGGGAAAGAGCGAGAAACTTGTGATGTGACGGAGACACAGATTAGCTGCCTCCCACAATCGCCCTGACTGGGTGTGGGGAATGCACCCATAACCTAGGTACATGCCCGTGACCAGGAATCGAACCCACAACCCTTCAGTGTGTGGGTATTTTCATTATACTGAAGTATCCATCTTATACAAAAACTGCTGTTTGAAACTTTAACCCTGCTATTTTGGCTTCTGTTTTAAATAATAAGGAAAATAGGACTACTCCCATTCCAGAGAGGCCGTAAACTATGCCCCAGAGTTGTCGGTGCTGACACCCAGACAGTTGCCAGGCCTTGAGATATGGTCTCATGGCCCCTTCCCAGCACGCAGGCCTTCTTTCTCAGAAGGCCCGGAAGTCTCATTCCAAATTTGGGAGACAAAGGACTGGAAAGAGTATAAATAGAGTTTCCTCCATATAGGGGGGCCCAGAATTTGAAAGACACATTTTTCTCTGGGCCTCCACAGAATTTAATAAAATGTAACTCCTGTAGTCGGCACTGCAGTTCAGCCTCTGCTTCGGCAGGGTGCTGTAACTGTAGTCGCTGGCCAGCTTAATAAAGGCTCCTAAATTTTGATCTGAGTCCCTGGTGGTCGTCTCCACGGGTCACCCCATTATAATACTGTGGAGAGAAACCTGGTTTGTTTTTTAAATTGACTTGAAAAAGAAAGAGAAGAGAGAAACATCAATTTGTTGTTTGTTTAATTTGTGCATTAACTGTTTGCTTCTTGTATGTGCCCTGACCAGAGATGGAAGCCACAACCTTGGCCTATCAGGACAACGAGCTACCTGGCCAGGGCAAGAGAATCCTAGTTTTGACTTAATAGTCCCTTTTATAACAACCATATTACCAATACTCTTTAGTTCTTTGTGAAATCATGATGTCTATAAGATAAAATTGTCATACCTTTATTAAGGATTCTTTTTAAGGACCATCTATATATATATAAAAGCCTAATATGCTGCTAATTGTCCCTCAAACCATGCGACTGTTTGACCAGTTGCTATGATGTGCACTGACCACCAGGGGGCAGATGCTTCATCCAGTAAGTTAGCTTGCTGCTGGTGTCTGGCTTATCAGGACTGGGCGAAAAGGGCCAGACATGCCCTGGAGCCCTCCCTTGGACCCCTCCCAGGCCCTGATCATGCACCAGTGGGGTCCCTCAGCCTGGCCTGCACCCTCTCACAATCTGGGACCCCTCGGGGGATGTCGCAGAGCCGGTTTCGCCAAATCCCACCAGTGCACGAAACCGTGCACCAGACCTCTAGTGTTAATACAATTTTGTGCTTCTTTTTAAATACATTTTTATTGATTTTGAGGAAAGGACAGGGAGAGATAGAAACATCAATGATGAGAGAGAATCATCGGTCAGCTGTCTCCTGGATGCACCACACTGGGGGTCGAGCCTGTAACCCAGGCATGTGCCCCGACCAGGAATTGAACTGTGACCTCCTGGTTCATAGGTTGATACTCAAACACTCGGTTTTCTTTTTATAATCTTTAAAGGGAAGACTTTAGGAATTTTGTTTCATGAATATTGTTAGATGGTTAAGTCCTTGTTCACTGGCCAGTACTGTCTGGAGCAATCTTTTGCAAAAGTGCTGGATTTCGGAGACTGAGAAAACAATCCCCACAAAGGGAAGGATGTGAGCACAGCACTGAGGAAGCGTCCGGGGGACTCAGCATCAGCACACACTCCCAGGGCAGATTCTCTCCAGTTCGCCGCGTGTCCGTCGTTCCCGGCTTCTGAGTGCCCGCAGCACATGAAGTCACCAGGCAGAGTCAGGATGAGCCTCCACTGTGCTACCCTCCACCAGGGCTCTCTGCCCGCTGCACAGCCTTTACCAAAGGCCAGGCCTGTGTCCCAGTCACCTGAATGTTGGTGCTGTCACCTGTCGTCACTGCTGTGAAGTCCAGGGAGCAGCCCGGGCCTCAGGGCCAGTGGCAAGTGTCCCTGGTCATGAATCCTATCAGCTGGACACTGAGATGGCACTCAGACCTCAGAAGTCAGGATGCCTCCTGGCCCCCAGGGACCCAGCTGCCCACCCTCCCTTCAGGCTATCTTCCACTAGGAGCAGTGAGAACTGCTTTCTTTGTTCTGAGATCTGTCCTGTAGCTGCCATCTCAGTTACACTCCTGTTGTAGATGTTGCGGCCCAGGAAGAAGGGCTTCACCGCCAAGGAGCCGCCCCAGCGCCCATGTGGCTGTGGCTGTGGCTGTGGCCGTGGCCGTGGCCGTGGCCGTGCTGGATTTGCATCTCGAGGAGTTGGCCCTGCATTGCAGTTGGGAAGAGCAGTGTTTGGTTGCGGGACCTTGTGGCAGTCAGGAGGTTGGCCGGCCGGCCCCCCCCCCTATGGGGGGGGGAATTGGGGGGGGCCCGCTGGGGGGGGGGACCAGGGGGGGGGG